CTCCTGGCAGCACTTGGACATCTGMAGGGAGACTAAAACCAAACGGGGGTGGCCTCCTGTGCCTGACAGCAACAGGTCAAACTGACAGGATGTTCACTTCTCCGTATGTTGTTCCTCAACTAAACAATGTGGTGAAAACCCAGAACCCATGACCACCCTTCTCCTATATCTGGCCCTATTACTAAAAAACTTGGGTTTTTTTTAGCTGACCTTCTCTTTCCAATGTTCCCCAATTTTGCATTGCAGAGCTTGAGAAACACATGAAGGAAAGTCATTCTGCTTTAACACAGAAGTGAGCTGGAGAGTCTTGCTCAGCCTTCTGCCCGGCACATSTGACGCTTGATAAGGCCAAGTTCTTGCCGTGACACCCAACAGAACTAACTTGACTGCATTGCAACATCCGTGGCCAAAGAAAGAGAAGTGGTGACAGAGAGAAGAGCTGCCCTTGCTTCCCTCCCATCTGCTGGTCCTTTCCTCGCCCATCTGGGGTCCTGCTCCTCTGTCCCGATTCCCCAGTATTGTTYAGACTGTAGCCTTTGTGTCCCTGACAGAGGCAGAGGGCCACAGACTGCGCTGSAGACCACTAGAGGGGATCCCCTCAGCACAAAGGGTCTGTAGCACCAGGCTCCCAACTTGAGCAGCACTGCCCTTGAAGGCAGCAGCTCAGCCCTGTCCCTGGACACCATCCAGCCTCATTTTAGTCTTTTCCTCCAAGAAACCATTAATCATTTTACTCCTATTACCAGACCACACTTGAGTGACAGCCAGCAGTTTTAAGTCTGTTTCAAAACTCCTTTACTGAAATATGTGGATGAATCTTACGTACAAGACCTTTGATTAGCATGTATAGCAATGAACAACATAGAACACTGAATTACGCCATTCACTTTGTTAGCATAAGGCTATTGTTTGTTTTGACCACACATCCTGCTGCAAAAAGCCATCAATAGATGTGACTCATCACCTCACCCCAATATCAGTCCTCCCTATTAAGCCTCCAATGCAAGTGAGGCCACGTTGAACATGGGTGTAGGGCAGGGAGGCAGCTCTGAAGCCCTCTGCAGTCCCCAGGACACTGAGGGAGGGCACAGGGAGCCCACGGCTGCACCCCTTAGCCCCGACACGCTCGGGCAATCCCACGTACCAGGTGTTCCTGGGCAGCAGCCCGGCAACCCAAAGACAGGCTGCTCACACATTGATGCATTTGTCTTGTTCTTGCTCTGGTTTTCTGAGGAAAACAAGTTACCTGCAGCAGTTAGAAATAGGAAGACTAGAAAGTAAGGGGTTTTACTCTTAGCCCCCCACGATGCATTCAGCCTTTCACTGCAGGCAAGTAGGAAAGCCACAAGCAGAGAAGCCACATGGTATTTGCACAGCCCTGTTGCAGGAGGCATTTGCAGACTGCATAAATGTCATTGCCAGCAGCGTATTTCCCAAGTCAGTTTGAAAAACAGGAGTAGCTTAGGACAAGTGGTGCAATACCTGGAACGTGATACTGCAGTCCGTGTACTGCCTAATCCCTATTCCTCACATCTGTCCCCTTGGGTTTTTTTAGATCCAAGATAGCTGCCTCCCTAGTGCTGTTCCTCAGCTTTGCCTGGGAAGGAGCCTGGTTGTAGGAGCAGCATCTCACCCTCCTGTCCTTCAGCACAGCGTCCCGTGAACTGTTTGAGCGTAACCTGCACACGTGTCTTTCTGGGCTGGGACTTCATGATCAGGACAAGGGCATCAAAAGTTCTCAACAGACAAAACACAAAGGCGTAAGACCTTGCTTTGTAGTAACATTTGGCCACAACCATTTGAAGAGATATGCTTAAAGCAGCTTGCCTCCAAAAGGCCCAGACAAATAGTACTTGCAATGCACCTAAGCAAATAATATTTGCTTTGCAAACCAAGGCTTCAGGATCTTGGCAGAAAGAACTTCCTTTCTTAAATGCAGAAAACTCAAACAAGCACCAACATTTTAAAACACAAAACTGGTCATCATCTTACCAGTGAGTACCCCTGAATACATCCAAGCTATAAGAAAAATAAATAAGACTTGGCTCGAGAAGGACTTTTATGCTCCCCTATTTTCCTGGTGCTTCAGAAGATTAGGAAGCTGATGAGCAAGATATTTCTTAGTACTGAGGAGCTACTCGCCTCCATCAGAAGGTGAATTTGCTTCTTGCTGCTCTCACATAGGCATCGAGAGCTAAGGTGTTTCCCCAGGTTGAAGCAGCTCTTTGCTTTCCTGGTTGCTCTTCCAGGCATTTTGTGCCACGGCCCCTGATGCTCCAGGGCAGGTGGGCACTGCAGGGCACTGCCTGACCTGGGGGCACCACAAACGAATCCAGAACCCTGTGGGATTCTGGCCAACTGTGCTCTGAGTTGTGTTAGAGCTTTGCACTGCTAATGAGAAGAACACCCTGATAGGCAACACATCCTCCTTCAGGAGCCCAAAGGAGATCACATACTTGAAAACAAAGAGGAGACAAAAAGCATCTTTAAAAAGCATTATCTTCCTTCTAATGGAAACACTACAGTCATACTTTCCTCAGTGCTTAGTTCAAATCATACTAAGCATGATAAAAGAGCCCATACTAGAGAAGACCATTATCAAATAAAGAAACTAAATGTAACATTTACCAAAGATAGGAAAGTTCAGTAGTACTTCCCAAGCCGAACTCAACTCTGAACTTGGACTAGGTCTGCCAGCTACCTGCTGCTCTCAGTCAAAGGAGCAGTAATCCTCTAACAGCCTCACCAAACTTACCAAAGAAGACTCACCTYTCTCATCCTTAAAAGCTATTCTTTAAACCCTGTTGGATAAAGCACAACTCCCAACAAGCCAAGGCCAAGCCCTTTCCCTCCTTAAATACCTCACTCAATGAGCCCAGCTGGAGACTTACTGTCTTGTTAGGGAAAGGAAGGCCTTTCTCCTGGGACTTAACTCCTGCCCTGCCTGATGAAGATGAGACCTTAGGAAGCTCTGCAGCTGCATTTCACAGCAGCAACTGTGCTCTCCCTTCCCCCTGGAGAGGAGGGGACTCGGAGGGATCCTACCAATGTGCATTCCCAGGGTGTGCACCCCAAAATACCTGCTGAGCAGCTGTAAGGAGACAGGGACAGGCTCTTCCYTGTGGTAGGCAGTGAAAGGACAAGAGGAATGGCCTGAACTACTGGAAATTCCACTTAAGAATTTCAGTGAGTTAATGGCTTTTACTGTTAGGGTGGTGAGACATAATTGCAAGGTTCCCAAGCAGCCTATGCAGTCTCCACCCTTGGAGATCCCCCAAACCCATCYGCCTGGTCCAGCTGACCCGTCCCTGAGCTGGGACTCCGCGACCTCCGAAGGTGCCTTCCAGCCTCGGCCCTCTGGGAGTCTGGGACCTGGTGGCATGAGGCCAGCACAGTGTGGAGCACCTGGAACACCCCAGCACAGCTACAGGTGATGCTGCAGAGCACCTAACAGTCCTCTTCAGTCTTATCTCCACTCTCTGCCTACATGGGAATATCTGCAATAAGACAGAGAGTCCCAGGAGCTCAAAGCAGGTACACAGATGAGTGAGGAGCTCGAGCAGGAGCCGCTGTTCTCCTTMAGACCCCGTGCAATGTGGCGGAGGTAGGAAGCAAAGGCTGTGTTGTAAACCAGCCTGGCATGCAATAAACATGAAAAAGGTTTCAATTTTGCAGCATTACTGATTCTTCCTTCAAGTGGTGCTTCCTAATCTCCCTTMTCCCCATTTCCTTTATATTTTCCCTTGTAATCAGTTTGCCTGGATTCAAAGATACAAGTGTCACTGCATCACCTCCAGCTGTGCGAACATGTATGAGTACATTTAATTTTCCCCTTTAGCACAAAGGGCTTATTATTCCATTTGATTTTAATCAGGTTCTGGCAATAGACCCAGCAGTCCGCCTGTGAAAGTTCTGCTTTGTACTAGAAGCCTATTTTTAGAAACATCTCACGTGATTGGGATCAAAGACCAGCAGTAGGCATTTCTGAGCATTCGTGGTCACAGAAACGTCCTTCAGGCTCCTTTTGCTATCCCAAGGAAAGCAAATAATTACTGGGGCAGTTAAACACCAAGCAATGGAAACATTCTGTGGCAAAACAGCATTGCATAATGCAGGCAGGTGATGCCTGCGGGAGCCTGGCACCCATCACCCCCTTCCAGAGCAGGGCAGGGGGATAATCTGCCAGGACCCTCCTCAAAGCCGGTAGCGGAGCYGGCACAAGCAGGGCCCTGTCGTTGCAGCCTTCAGGAAGCCCAGAGCTGCCCATGCCCCTGCCTGTGAGGACTGCTCCCCCATTAAGCCTTATCTGCCCTTTACATAACGGAGCCTGCAGCTTTGTCAAGGGAGGCAGCACCAGGCCTGCGCTTTCACAATGGGGCTCCCACCTCCTGCCCCTTGCACAACTGCACCTTCTGGTGCTTTATCTCTTTCCACGTGGTCCCCAGCCCACATCCACCAGAGGGAAAGGGAACGTGACCTCAAGCAGGCAGAGGCTCTGTTCCTTTGGGCATTAAGCAGCTCCTCACCACGTGCTAGCGAGTCCTCAGTCACTCTGACGTTTACTGCTACTGAACAGGGAAAGACTGTCCTCATGTCACCAGAACACCCTGAACAAGAGGCAGGGGGGTCATTAGCAGAAGCAGGAATTCAGCTTCCCAGAGCATCCCCATCCCTGCAGTGCTGCTGTTGCACCCTGTCTGCCTCAGAGCAAGGGGGGTCGCAGTCGCTGCCCTGCTCRGGGCTGTGGCTCTGGCTGCCTTACAGAGCTCTGTGCCCTGTAAGGGCGAGAGGGGCGAGAACGGCCTCCCAGCCCCGCGGAGCCCTAGGCACCAACGGCCTTGACCTGGGACTAGCCCCGTCCTGTACCCAAAGGCAAGCAGCCCTCTGCCCCGCCACCACCACAGGAACCCAGCGCCAAACCCCTCGCATGGAGAGCGTGAGGCCTGAAGGCACCAGCAGCATGAGAGGATTGCCCAGCAAAGCAGTACTTTGAAGTATTCTTTAAGAAAAAAGAGAAAACAATACTTTATTTAATAGAAAACTTTCAGAGTACAAAAAGGGTCTGTTGGCTTGTTTGAAGCATTACATGGACAATATACTCATTAGGGGCAACTCCCGCTCTCCTAAGGTGTAATCTCTTTTCATATTGCACCCTTTATTCGTTGCCTTCATCCTCACAGAGAGGCTGCACAGTTGTTCTTCTGCAATGCCATCAAAAAAGAAGTCCTCGTTAAAGATGGGGTTCCGGCTTCTCTTTATAATGGTGCTTCTCTGCTTCTGCGTTTTCCCTGGCACCAGAGAGAAGGCRACGCAGCAGTTGATGTTCTTGGGCTCTGCGGAGCTGTCGTACAGGCCCTCTGCGCTGATGAGGCGGATGCGGAGCCGCCTGTTCTCGGCGCAGTACTCGGCGGAGAGCCGGAGCCGGCCACCCCGGCCCACCAGCACCACACTCTCCCCCACCAGCCTCTCTCGGCTGTGGGACAGGTCCAGAGGGAAGATGGGAGAGCAGGAGAGGCTGAAGCTGCGCGCAGCCAGCAGCCCCTCGGATGCGCGGCGTGGTGCCCTGGGGCTCGTGTCCGTGGAGCTGCTCTCCTCCGTGGACAGGGAGTTGTTCCTGACCATACCACATTTGTTCTTGCCTTTCAGCGCTCGGCACAGCAGTCCCTCCTGGCTCCGYGTTTTCATCAGGGAGCAGGAGCGGGGAGGGGACCTGCTGAGAAGCGGGGAGCTGAAAGGAGACGAGTCGCTGGAGGAGGCAGTGTCGCTGTCGCAGGGGCCCAGCCGGTGCAGGGGCAGGTGCTTGGGAGGCATCCTCATGGAGGTGAAGCTGATGGCGATGGGCTTAGAGACGCTGCCCTTGCCGCTGAAGGTGCTGGCCCTGGCTCGCGGCAGYGTGAGGCCAGGCAGGGCACCACGGGCGTCACCGTGGAAGATGGACTCCTTCCTCCGCGTGTGCGGGCTCTCCAGCAGYGTGCAGAAGCCGTAGGAGGTGGGCGCGCGTGGGAAGTGCGGCAGTGAGAGCGCCGCTTGTGACTGTGGGTCCGAGTTGGTGCTTTCTTCCTCCAGGGCTGGGATCTCTTCGGCACTCTCCACCTGGATCAGGTGGGGCAGGGAYGGGCTGGGGCTGCAGCCCGAGGGAGCAAGATCAGCATCCCCTGCATTGCGCTCCTGGTGGGAGCCAGAGCCCTTAATGGCAAGAGCGCTGCTCAGCCGGGGCGGGATGCAGAACTCGGGGATCCTGTCTGGCGTGAGCACATTGGGAAAAGCGGCAGCCCCCAGGCGGGCTTTTTCCGGCAGGCTTTGGCTGGATGGCAGTCCCAGGAAAGAGGCGCTGGGAACAGTCCCATCTTCGTGCGATGCTCTGATCTTCTCCAGGAACCACATCATGGTGGCAGCGGAGGAGACCCCCGCAAGGGCAGAGTGCCAAGCACGTGGCTGCCGCCACCAGCACGGAGGCGCCGGAGGGGCTCACGCTGAAGCGCGCGGGAGCCGCCGTGTGCGGGTTGCAGCGTGCGGGGCGCAGGAACCGCCGTGTGCGGGACGCAGCGTGAGCGGCGCGCAGGAACCGTCGCGTGCAGGATGCAGCGTGTGGGACGCGGGAGCCGTCGGGTGCAGGATGCAGCGTGTGGGGCGCGGGAGCCGTCGGGTGCAGGATGCAGTGTGCGGGGCGCGGGAGCCGCCGCGTGCGGGATGCAGCGTGTGGGGCGCGGGAGCCGTCGGGTGCAGGATGCAGCGTGCGGGGCGCGGGAGCCGTCGGGTGCAGGATGCAGCGTGCGGGGCGCGGGAGCCGCCGTGTGCGGCGTGCACTGCGGGCGGCCCCTTTTCTAGCGGCGCCGGCGCCACCCCCGCGTCCCGCCCCGGTCCTGGTCCCGCCCGGGTCCCGGTCCCGCCCCGTGGCGGCGCCTCCCCGCGCCGGCAGCGCCTCCGCTCGGGCGCTCGCTCCGCGGCCGTGCCAGGCACCGCGGGGACCCCGCCATGCAGCCGCGCGTTCGGGGTGCTCCGCAAAACTCCCGCTCGGCGAACGAGGTGCCCGCACTGACAGACGGGGCGCCCAGCTGCCCACGGGGACAGCGAGCAAAGCACCTCGTGCCCTTCCCTGCCCAAGCTCCAGGCTGYGCTCATGGAGCAGCTGCAGGGCCTGGCTGTGGCCCGCGACAACCAAGTGGGTCACCAGGCTGGAACAGTTCGAACCTGCTCGGAGGCTCAGCTGGGAACACACGGGGCAGCGCTGAGCTCCCTCCCTGCCTGCTGTGCAGCCCTTCAGCCTCCCTCYGAACACCCCTGCGGGGCACTATATGACAGAGAGGTTTTTATTCTGCCCTTCATGCTTTGTAAAGATGTTCTAACCACCCCAGCTGTCCTAATAAGGTTTCAGTTATTAGGACTTCACACCCCTCTGCTAATGGACCCTAAAAATGGAGAAAAATAAATGAATGAAGAACATTTCAGTGTGAAGCTTTTTATGTCTAGTGACAGCTCTCCAAAGCCACCCAGCTATGACAATCACAGCAATTAGCATCAGGCAGCAGTAAAAAAGTAGGGAATTCACCTCGCTCTGATTGAGATACCTCATTTCTGCCTAGTCTCTCTAGGTCTCCTCTATGGTTGATGGGAACATGCAGAGATTTCCAGCCTCMGATGCCAGGGAGCAGAAGCCCAACACAGACACAGCCCCTTGTCCTGCGCAGCAACGCCTGCTTTTTACAGGCACTTCACAGACTGCTGATGTGAGCAGAGTACAGCAGCACTTAAGTGCTCCCTCATCCCCGGTGGAAATAGGCACTCACATGGATGATTAGCTGCTTCACTTCCTGTGCTCAAAACAGTTTCTCTTTTCCTTGATTAACTTCAGAGAACAATTAAAAGACGCTGCCAACTTCAGAGCACAATTAAAAGACGCTGCCAACAAGGCTTCCTGTTGCTACAGAAAGCGTCTCTGCAATGAAGGATTTCCCAAGCAGAAGATCCAGGCCTCCTCACCAGGCCTGGCTGGCTCCTCCAGCCTCCTGATGCACTCCCCAACTGTGCATGCAGTTCAGCAGCGACTTCCCTCTCCTGCAAATGAGATCAGCAGCCTGGTTCTTTGCAGAGGGCATCAGTGAGGGTAGCTCTGCAAGCTCCTTAGCAGCAACAGCCCCAYGTGTGTGCACATTCCCACACACTCCACCCCACCCAAGATACCTCCTCCCCACACAACTGCATCCCTGCACAACCACATCCCTCCCACAGCTTGTCCACAGCCCATGTTTTGATAAGCAGCAGCTCTCCTGAAAAGCCTGCACATCCACAAACACTGCCCAGGTCTTGCTCGATGGCACTGCCTGGTTGGAGGGCTGCAAGTGTGAGAGGGCACCTTGCACCCTGAGGGAGGCCTGGGCTTTGCACCGGCAGGGAGAGGAGGCCACAGTGCTCCAAAGGACAGGACCACATGCAGATCAAGGCAAACTGTGGCCTGCTGAGAATCGTGCATGTGCAAACAGGCTCACCTAGGAGAACACAGCAGTTTGCTGTTCTGAAAGCAATATATTATAGAACTATYGATATTTAAATATACAAGCAATTTGTGCATTGCTGTAAAGATATATACAAAATTTCCATGGACTGCTATGAGAATAAATAAGCCTGCTAAGTTTTCATTTCCAAAAGATGACACTGGCAGTTCAAGTTGTGGTTCCCCAAAAAAAAGCCTTCAATGGACTGAGGCAGTTATACATTTTACCTTAAAGATCAAAATCTGTGAGGCACAAAAGKACAGAAGTCTTTCTTTGCAGCATACAAGGTCCTGTGAAGAAAGCTGACATTTGGCATGCAAAATAAAAGAAGGTTGTGCCACAATCTTATCACCCAAGTGAGCCGACTGACACAGGACTGTGCAGGTGTCTAAGCATAGTCTCGATGACTGTCCATGCCCACGATGGTCCATCCACACACACCCTTTTCCAGGCCGTATCCACTTCACATGCATTTCCAACCCAAAAACATGTCTTTGGCATCTTTTACATCTGATGTTCAATTTCCTCTCATTCCCTTAAAGCCTCGCCGGGCTTTAAGGATGACCAATCCAATATGACATGTCAACGGGTTAATACAAGACTTTTCCTCCACAACAATCGTGCAGCAAGTTACACATCCCTACACGGACAGTTGTTCACTAACAGCACTGCATGCTCAGCTACATAAAGGAATCCTCAAAGCAGACCTGAATATATATAAAACCAGGAGGAAAAAAATCAATTTAAAAGTAGAATCAAGTCCCTTGTGCATCTTCCATGTTCTAGTAAGCCACTACACAGGACTAATATTTTGTAAAACTGCTTTTGTCCTTTAAAACAGCAACATATGGGAAATATTTTATTCTCTTCTCCCAAGCACAAGGTGAGATTTGTCTTGAAATGTTTGCCAATAAGATCGATTTCTGATTAGCTCAATTCCTGCTTTCCTACCCATTCAGATGCTTTCGTTATACCATTGCTAATATAGAAAAGTGTATTTAGTACTGATTTTACATTAAATGATCCAATAAAAAAACATATTCAGGTTATGATCCTAAAAATCCATTTGGCCTACATTTTATTCTACTTGTGAAGCACAGAGACGATCTAGGATTTTATTGTGAAAAATTACTTTATACAACCATTATTAACATCATCAAACCAGTTGTATTGTCAAAGAACTGGTGAAAACAAAGGCAAATCACCAGCTTGGCCTGCACTGACCAACTACCTTTTTACCTTYGGAAAAGATTTGCAAATTCTGGTTTAAATGATATATCGCCAATTAAAGCAGCTACAGTCAACAAAACCTGGAAAGCCCATGCATTTTTGAGGATAAATAGGCTTTTCAGTATTCCCTGTATAACTGGAGACAGATTTTGATAGATCAAAGGAAAAAATTCTGATTACACAACTGTTGTTTTAAGGAAACAGCTGGAAAAACCAGTTACAATCCTAGAAAACCAGCTTTCTAGGAAAAACTTGTTACAATCCTCAGGTGAGTTATGCCAGTTGAATCCAGGCTAGCACAAAAAGCTGCTTTTGGATTACAGTGAGCAAGTACATACTAGAAAGCCTTATAACACATAGCAGCTTTATGGATTTTTGGAGACTACAGAACTCTATTCAGAWGAATGTGTGCACTTCAGGTCTTTAACAGTAACATCAGTTATCATTTCCCTTTTTAATTATGACATTTCTATGTGAATTGGATGTTCATAGGATTTTTCTCTGCTCAGCTGCCATCCCGACGCTGCAGCTGACTGATAAGCAGCAATAAAAAGGACAGAGAACTTGTATTGCACACAAAGATCACCTAGGGCATTAGAGGAAAACAGAAGCATCTTTCCCAACAGTGCCATATAAAGCATCCCAGATGKTTAATAACTTGGCCTGGTAGCCTGATAGCAGAGCAGGAAATAGGAGATCTGAAAAAATATTTTAAAGGCTATCAAGAAAATGGAAATGTATCACCCAACAGGTATTTCATTACCCTCTCCTCACAGGTGTGGTGAAACAGGATCCCCTGCCTATTCCAGCTGATTGCCAGGAAAAGCAGGTGGCTGTACACAGGTGAGCAGGAAACCAGTCAACAGCAGAGCAGAGATTTCCCAGCACCGTCATGGGGCTTAACTGGCACCCAGTCTGCCAAGAAGCTGAGGGAGATTGATGAAAGGGTCCTAAAAATGCTGCAGCTGGCTTAAGGAAGGGAATAGAAGAAACAAAATAATTGATTGGAAATAGTATGATGGGCAGAATGACTCTACCTGTTCTGCTTGCTTTTAGAGAGAAAAAAAAAACAAGAAAAAAAATATTTTGATGTGCCTTCCCCTGCTTAACCTTGGAAGTGAGGGCAGTGAGTGACCTCCTGGTCACTCAGCCTGGCTAACATCCACCCCAAGGGAGACACACAGTGATGAACTCCAAAGCCCAAAAGGGGACAGGCCACTCCAGAGAGTGTCGGTGCCCRTGTGTCCATGAGGGGAGTCTTCTGAGCAGGGACACGACAGGCTGATGTTCCCCCCAGGGAGTTACTGCCCCCAGTATAATTAAGGTGCACCTCACTAGAACAGATCTTCACATTTTTTCCCCTGCTATGGACAGACTCATTCCAACAGTCCAGCCCTAAGATCACACCCAGGTCACTCAGGCTCAACCACAAGGGCTAGAAATCACATTTGCTCTAAACAGAAGATTCACATTCCATAGATGACTTGGAAAGTGCCCTAATCTACATTCTGGAAGTCATGATCACTGTGGGAGAGCTGCTTGGCTGGCCACACATTGAGACTGCCAGACCCTCAAACACCAAAGCTCCTGAAAGCAACGTGCTGGTAATGCAGGTTCCTACAGCACTCAGACACACCAGAAGCTGGAATTACTTAGCCCAGATAAGTCACACTGAGTTGCAGTGTGAATGCAGGACAGAGTGGTTTACCTCAAAAAGCTGCATTGAGGCAACACTGGGATTAAGTG